GTGGAAGGCTCTGGGAAACTATAGATAGAAGGCAGCCCTTGGAAGACTTATGGTGGATTCCATGGATGGGCCGAGGTCATCACATGACCCTTCAATAATCATTAAAGCAGAAGTCCAGCTGAAAATGTTAACTTTGTTTTGGGTAGAGAAGAGAATTTTAAGTTATTTTTCAGTGCGCACATTTTTTTCTACCTGGATTCACCGCTTCAGTAGTGGAGGAAAGCAATCTTACCCAACACTGGAGCCCTGCACCTCCTGAGATGTCCCACAAACAGGTGCACTGCAAATACCAAATTTGGAATGAGTTTGCATTCCACTAGTAGCATTCGTCCTGCATCAGTAACTTTAATAAACTGTATAGAAGACTGGAATGCATTGGATCCAAGTCCTAATTGACCACCAGCATGGGTCAAGGATTGGGGGCTTGTAGGCCACACAGAAAGGAATGTGCACATCATGTGTGTGAATATTTTTTCTACCTGGATTCACCACTTCAGTAGTGGAGGAAAGCAATCTTACCCAACATTGCACCTCCTGAGATGTCCCACAAACAGATGCACTGCAAATATCAAATTTGGAATGAGTTTGCATTCCACCAGTAGCCTTCGTCCTGCATCAGTAACTTTAATAAACTATATAGAAGACTGGAATGCATTGGATCCAAGTCCTAATTGACCACCAGCATGGGTCAAGGATTGGGGGCTTGTAGGCCACACAGAAAGGAATGTGCACATCCTATCCGGATTCACCATGCCAATGTTATCACACACCGTTGGTGAGCGTCTTGGTAGAGAAAGTGGGCCGGTAGTTTTTGTTACCAGGCTGCCAGGCTGTTTGTTTTATCTCTCCACCGTTCTTTACATTGATATTGTTACCGTTAGCAGCAATCTGCATTTTATTTATTGCAGTTATCTCTGTCTAACTGGCTGCAAAATAAAACGAGGCATACAATATTAAATGAGGCCTCATTTATTTGAGCTGATAACTTTTATTTAGATCTAGCAATGTTCTATGGCTTCTCATGAGGGTGCTGTGGAAGGCTCTGGGAAACTATAGATAGAAGGCAGCCCTGGAAGACTTATGGTGGATTCCATGGATGGGCCGAGGTCATCACATGACCCTTCAATAATCATTAAAGCAGAAGTCCAGCTGAAAATGTTAACTTTGTTTTGGGTAGAGAAGAGAATTTTAAGTTATTTTTCAGTGCGCACATTTTTTTCTACCTGGATTCACCGCTTCAGTAGTGGGAGGAAAGCAATCTTACCCAACACTGGAGCCCTGCACCTCCTGAGATGTCCCACAAACAGGTGCACTGCAAATACCAAATTTGGAATGAGTTTGCATTCCACTAGTAGCATTCGTCCTGCATCAGTAACTTTAATAAACTGTATAGAAGACTGGAATGCATTGGATCCAAGTCCTAATTGACCACCAGCATGGGTCAAGGATTGGGGGGGGGCTTGTAGGCCACACAGAAAGGAATGTGCACATCATGTGTGTGAATATTTTTTCTACCTGGATTCACCACTTCAGTAGTGGAGGAAAGCAATCTTACCCAACATTGCACCTCCTGAGATGTCCCACAAACAGATGCACTGCAAATATCAAATTTGGAATGAGTTTGCATTCCACCAGTAGCCTTCGCCTGCATCAGTAATTTTTAATAAACTATATAGAAGACTGGAATGCATTGGATCCAAGTCCTAATTGACCACCAGCATGGGTCAAGGATTGGGGGCTTGTAGGCCACACAGAAAAAGGAATGTGCACATTTCCTATCCGGATTCACCATGCCAATGTTATCACACACCGTTGGTGAGCGTCTTGGTAGAGAAAGTGGGCCGGTAATTTTTGTTACCAGGCTGCAGGCTGTTTGTTTTATCTCTCCACCGTTCTTTACATTGATATTGTTACCGTTAGCAGCAATCTGCATTTTATTTATTGCAGTTATCTCTGTCTAACTGGCTGAAAAAAAAATGAGGCATACAATATTAAATGAGGCCTCATTTATTTGAGCTGACAACTTTTATTTAGATCTAGCAATGTTCTATGGCTTCTCATGAGGGTGCTGTGGAAGGCTCTGGGAAACTATAGAGAGAAGACAGCCCTTGGAAGACTTGTGGTGGATTCCATGGACGGGCCAAGGTCATCACATGACCCTTCCAAAATCATTAAAGCAGAAGTCCAGCTGAACATGTTAACTTTGTTTTGGGTAGAGAAGAGAATTTTAAGTTATTTTTCAGTGCGCACGTTTTTTTCTACCTGGATTCACCTCTTCAGTAGTGGAGGAAAGCAATCTCACCCAACATTGCACCTCCTGAGATGTCCCACAAACAGATGCACTGCAAATATCAAATTTGGAATGAGTTTGCATTCCACCAGTAGCCTTCGTCCTGCATCATTTAGGCTAAGTTCACACTAGCTTTGTAAGCAGGAGTTTTGCAGGCGTTTGACTGGCGTTTTTAACGCTCCTCAAACGCCTATGAAAATTATACACCTGGAAGCACACAGTGCTGTTCACACTGAAGGGTTAGGGTCGCATTGCGGCAAAAATTGATGCCTCATGTCAAGTCAGGAGGAGTTGAAGCCTTTCAACGCCTCCAATTCAAGTCTATGGTGATGCTTCTCAAACGCCTGGCAGGTGTTTGCGGGACGTTTTGCGAGGCGTTAATACCATTAACTTCATTATATGCTTTTGTGGTGCGGAAAACACTTGGAAAATACCTATGAATTGCCTCAAAAATGTGCATAGGGCGTTCAAGGAGCATTAAAAACTCTTCCCAAACGCCTGTCAAGCGCTATCCCTATAGCGTTTGACAGGCGTTTGGGGAGAGTTTGGGAAGAAGTCAAGTGTGAACAAGCCCGAACTTAAACAAACTATATAGAAGACTAGAATACATTGGATCCAAGTCCTAATTGACCACCAGCATGGGTCAAGGATTGGGGGCTTGTAGGCCACACAGAAAGGAATGTGCACATCATGTGTGTAAATATTTCTTCTACCTGGATTCACCATGTTGGTGAGCATCTTGGTAGAGAAAGTGGGCCGGTAGTTTTTGTTACCAGGCTGCAAGGCCTAGGCATAGTATAGGAATTTGGCACCTTTTAATTATTTTTTCTCTACGTCTGTCACTTTCATTTTTTGCGTACCACCTTTCACTTAGGAAGGTAAGGTGTGGGTCTTCTAGCCTACCCTGAAGTCTAGGGGGAGGATATGTGGCCATCACGTTCCTTCCTTCCCTGCCATGGACGTTCTCTCTTATGAGGAGCCTTCCACCCAGTACTCATTGGTCAGCTTCAGCTGACCATGGGGAACAGGATCTGCCAGACCTTTTGACTAGGTGGATCTGAGTGTGCCTTACCCCCTATAATGAGTCTTGTGCCCCAGGAGGTCAGGGAAGGGTCCTTTCATTTCTGGAGGGGACCATTCGACACAGCCTGGTGCACTTTTTTGTGTGTGCCAAACAAAAATGCATGTGAACACACACAAAAAAGTGCACCAGGCTGTGTCCAGTGGTCCCCTCCAGAAATGAAAGGACCCTTCCATGACCTCCTGGGGCACAAGACTCCTTACAGGGGGTAAGGCAAACTCAGATCCACCTAGTCAAAAGGTATGGCAGATCCTGTTCCCCATAGTCAGCTGAAGCTGAACAATGAGTACTGGTAGGGAGGCTCTTTATAAGAGAGAACGTCCATGGCAGGGAAGGAAGGAACCTGATGCCCACATATTCTCCACCTAGTTTTCAGGGTTGGCCAGAAGACTCACACCTTACCTTCCTAAGTGAAAGGTGGTACGCAAAAAATTAAATTGACAGACGTGGAGTAAAAATAATTAAAAGGTGCCAAAGTCCAATACTATGCCTAGGCCCCGTCCCCCCTGTGCTCCCATGTAGTGGTGAATGCATACTTAGGCCACGCCCACATATGTAAACGGTGTTCAAACCACACATCTGAGGTATCGCCACAAACATCAGAGCAAGAGCAATAATTCTCGCACTAGATCTCCACCGTAACTTCACACTGGTAACCTGTAGACATTTTTAAAGCGTCACTCATGGAGATTTTTAAGTAACGCAGTTTGACGCCATTCCACGCGTGCGTGCGCAATTCTAAAGCGTGACATGTTGGTTTCTATTTACTTGGCGTAACATCATCTTTCATATTTTTTGCAAAAAAATTGGGGTATATAGTGGTTTTTTTTTAATCAATAAAGTGTATTTTTTTTCCAAAAAAATATAATAAAATTTTTAAAAACTGCTCATTTCGGTTTTCAGCCAAGTGCATCCTGAATTTTCGGTTTCGGCACCATAATTTTCATTTCGGTGCACCACTGATGTTCTTTCCCGTGTGTATAAAGCCTCTCAGCCAGTTATCAGTGTTCTTACGCATGCCACCAAAAGTGCCCATTCTGCGGGCAGGAGATGATGAAATGGTAAAATTCGCACAGAAATGATCGGAGCTGTGAACAGGCCTGACTCCTGGAACAAACATTCATGCAGTATTGCACTTATCTGATCATTTATTTTTCACGTGTTGTTTCCTTTTTGTATTCATTGGACTACAAGAGTCCAGCCATGTTGGCTGTGTTGATGAGGAAAGAGACGACCGAAACGAGCCAGATTAGGCATGTCACAATAGCGACCTTTCCTTCTTGTCCAATGGGCATTTGACCAGCGGTGACCTCATTTAGGGCTGTGTTGGCTGGCTTTTTTGGACTTGTGTTGATAGCCAAATGCAGCTTGTTTTTAGAACCCTTCTGAGATCTTTCAGATTTCATTGACAATTGCATTTAACCTACAGTTGACCTCCTTCTGACCTGCAGTTGACCTTCTAAGCTGCATCAACTTACTTCCAACTGTTTTTGCATTCACATAGTCTTGATTGACTAGAGCAGTGTTTCTCAACCTATTTTCAGTCAAAAAATTATGGACAGTCTGGAGGCACCCTTTAAAATTATGGGCAGTCTGGAGGCACTTTTTAAAATTATGGACTGTCTGGAGGCATGTTTTAAAATTATGGACAGTCCCGAGGCACCCTTTAAAATTATGGACAGTCTGGAGGTACCCCTTAAAATTATGGGCAGTCTGGAGGTACCCCTTAAAATTATGGACAGTCTGGAGGTACCCCTTAAAATTATGGACAGTCTGGAGGCACCCTTTAAAATTATGGACAGTCTGGAGGCACCCTTTCAAATTATGGGCAGTCTGGAGGCACCCTTTAAAATTATGGACAGTCTAGAGGCACTTTTTAAAATTATGGACAGTCTGGAGGTACCCCTTAAAATTATGGACAGTCTGGAGGTACCCCTTAAAATTATGGACAGTCTGGAGGCACCCTTTAAAATTATGGACAGTCTGGAGGCACCCCATTCGAAAATGGGGTGCCTCCAGACTGTCCATAATTTTAAAAGGGCATCGCATTCTAAAATGTGAAAAACTATGTGACCCCAGCACTGATGGAGAAGGGCAGGGGAGGGTCAAACTAGGATGCTGTGGAGGCAGCTGACATCCTCCTTATCAAATGATGATGTCATTAGTTGTCAGGACACCGACACTAGAAGGTTGTATATATGGTGCACAATGAAAACCTGTGGTTTTGTGTAACTAAAAGGCAGGCTTGTTCTATTGCTGGCTTGTATGCAGATTTTGGCCAATTTTTAGACATTTTGTCAAGGTACCCCTGAAGAATCCTCAAGGCACCCTGGCTGAGAAAGGCTGGGCTAGACATCCAACTTTCTAGGACACAATCCAAAGACTTAATTCCCCGTACACATGACCAGAAAATCGGATGGCAAAAATTGCTTTCGGAGGGATCATGTGATAATCTGATCGTTAGTACACAGCATTCAAATGCCAATCACGACAGTTCATGGGACAGTATTCCGATTCCGAAGGAACAAGCGTGAAATTTTTGGGTGAGAAAGGCTGGAGAGAGAGAGCCATTCTGATGCAAACAAAAACCTGTCCACACCAACCCCTCAACACGCTGAGTCCTCACCTGCCATTAGATGGGAGTCTCACCCAACATGACATAGTAAATTAGATTGCAGTGTGTGTTTTGAAGGTGGGGGCCATCTGAAATTTTCAAGCATGCCCAGTTGAGTTTTGAGATGACGTCCATAGGTTGGGACCATCTCTAGGGGTCATTGGTCTGTCACGGATATGCAGATACTCAAACATCTGATTTCTGTGCATTCGATGACATATTTTAGTGTGGTTTCAGAAAGCCAACAATCCGTTAGAAATGATATACAGTATATTTGTAAGATATTACTAACTGCTGAGTAGAGGAGCACACATAGCTGTGGGTTGGCTCTCTTCCCTTAGCTCACTTGTGATACAGTAAATGTTTTCTTGGTTTGCTGCAGGAGAACTAGTTCTGTGAATCACCATGAGGGTTTCATTCTCCGGATTTGCATATTTAACCTTCCCTCGTAAGAAAAGGAAACAAAAGCGCTAATCGTCTGTATTTTCTGTGTAAGTGTCCTCATTTTCACATGGGCTATGGAAATACCTCGTGGTGCCGCTCCAAGCTGGAAATATAACAGAAATCACCACGCCGGCAAAGGAAAGGGAGCTGTTGTCCTGAAGTGATTTTTAGAATGGCTAATCAAGTGAGAAGGTTTACGCGGCTCAACCAGGCCCAGGTGTCAGATGTGTAGATGGCGTGGCCTCAGCCACCACTCTGGTCTTTTGAGGGCAGCAAGCAGTGCATTTTCCAGAAAATTCCAGAACATTCCTATTGGGTCTACTGAGTCCTTTCCTAGCGCAGGAGTAAAGTGTTTGTTGTGTTGGATTTACCACTCTGGCCACACCCTCTGACATTTTTTGACCCGCCTGCTGGGGCTTGAACACAGAAACCTCAGCGGCCGAGACCAAGCCATCTACACATCTGACTCCTGGGGCTGGTTGAGCGGTGTTCACCTTCTCACTTGATTAGCCCTCATTTTCACGTGTTGAATTTTAATCAGGCTGGAGTAGTTCTTGTCGTCACTGGGAAAGGAAGTGAGGGCATATTTCTCCAGTGGGACCACTTTCATTTACGTGTTTTGGTTGGCAAACACTCCTTTATTGGGGCTTTAAAAACAAATATGGCTACATGAATGAACTCAAAGGGAACAATACCAAACGGGTCTGTACTTAATTTTTAGGAACTGTTGTTGTGTCATAATGGTCAGTGGCAGTTTCACTGGTTTACCAGTGACCACGATACCCACTACTACTTCTGCCTTCTCTCCCTCCCTGACATCCCTTGCCCTGCCCCCTCCCCTCCCGCAGCCTCCTGGGAAATGTCATTTGTCTCAGGTGGCTTCAGAACCATTCACAAAGTGCTGTGCGACCTCGTGCATGAGCAGTGCGCAGCTGGCTGTGGTTCCTCAGGAAGCCACAGCCGGCTCCTGTATCCAAGATGGTGTGGCTGGGGACCCGCAGCAGTAAGAAAAACCAGCTGCGGCAAGACAGCGCTGGACTCCAGGCAATGGTAGGTCATCAGATGCAGTATGTAAAGCTGTTGACTTTAAACAAACAAACTGAAATTTCTCTTTAAGGAGAGCAAATATGAGATAAAATACAGGTCTGTTTGGCACTGTTCCCTTTGAGTCAATTCAAGTTCCTATTTTCGTTATGGAAGCCCTGATGAAGGAGGAAGGGGGAGTGTCGGGCCCCGGAACTGTGGTTTATTTTTTTTTTTTTTATTGTATCATGAGCAATCAAAAGTTTGTTGGACCCTCCCATCTCCCAAGGATTGGTACTCCTTTCTATACTTCCACGATCCTTGCTTGGATTCCAGAGTGGTGTCTTTTTCCTGAAAAGGAAATGCTCGCAATACAGAACGCATCCAATGAAAATATTTGAGATTGGAGACTTGTGTGTTACTTTCAGGACTGAAGCTGGACTGTTTTATCTGAAGCACTTACTGAAGTGTATCTGTCCAACACCACTAACGATTCTACCTCTGTGCTTTCTCTTCTAGGAAATAATTGAATTCCCCATTCTGAAGTTAAACGGCAGAACAATGGAGATCGAGTCAACGTTTCATACGTATGTGCAGCCTGTGGTCCACCCCCAGCTCACTCCATTCTGTACTGAGGTAAGGAGTCTGCTCATTAGTCCAAATCCAGATTTATGTGTGTGGACACCTTCGCTACGATGGGAGAGGTGTAACCAATTAAAAAACAAATTGCATATTTCTGCCATATTCTGTGTTTTTGTCACAGATTAATTTTCAAGAAAGGCATAATAAATAGGTGAAGAGCTTAGAATTAATTTTCTTTCTTGTCTGTTGAGGGACACCGGAAGTCATTAACTGTTGGGTTGTACTGCTGCTTACAGGTGGCTAGGACACTAGCAAATGAAAACAAAATTGAAAGCCAGTTCAGGATAACCCGTCCTACAGTCGGCATGCCTAAATCTTTTAATGGTGTTCTAGCAGGTTGGATGTCCAACCTTTTTCCCTTCTTACAACCGACATACTTAAGTCTTTTGATGTTGTCCTTGAAGGTTGGATGTCCAGCCTTTTCCCTTCTTACGAACACCATGCTTTCTTTCGATGGTGTCCTAGGAGGTTGGATGTGTAGTCGTTTTCCCTTCTTTAAACCATCATGCTTAAGTCTTTTGATGTTGTCCTTGAAGGTTGGATGTCCAGCCTTTTCCCTTCTTACGAACACCATGCTTTCTTTCGATGGTGTCCTAGGAGGTTGGATGTGTAGTCGTTTTCCCTTCTTTAAACCATCATGCTTAAGTCTTTTGATGTTGTCCTCGAAGGTTGGATGTCCAGCCTTTTTCCCTTTTTACAACCAACATGCCTAAGTCTTTTGATGTTTTCCTAGAAGGTTGGATGTCCAGCCTTTTTCCCTTCTTACGAACAGCATGCCTTCTTTCGGTGGTGTCCTAGGAGGTTGGATGTGTATTATTATTATTATACCGGATTTATGGCGCCAAGAGTTTGCTCAGCACTACAATATAATGGGAGACAATACAGCAACAATACAGTTCAATACAAGAGGGGTAGGAGGGCCCTGATCCTGGGAGCTTATAATCTAGGAGGGAGGGGCCAGTGGTACAAAAGGTAATAACTGTGGGGGATGGACTGGTAGGAAGAGTTGAAGATTCCATTATTAGCTGAGGGCAGGATAGGCTTCCCTGAAGAGATCGGTTTTCAGAGATCTCCTAAAAGTGAGCAGAGTAGGTGATAGTCTGATAAATTGGGGTAGAGAGTTCCAGAGGATGGGGGAAGCTCTGGAAAGGTCCTGGAGACGAGCATGGGAGGAGGAGACAAGGGAGCTCGAGAGAGCAGGAGGTCTTGCGAGGAGCGGAGAGTACGGTTTGGGTGATATTTAGAGACAAGATCGTTGATGTAATTTGGGGCGGAGTTATAAATGGCTTTATACGTTATTGTTAATGTTTTTAATTTTATCCATTGGGCAACGGGAAGCCAGTGGAGGGATTGGCAGAGAGGGGTGGCGGACACTGAATGGATACCAGTGGAGGGATTGGCAGAGAGGGGTGGCGGACACTAAATGGAGGCCAGTGGAGGGATTGGCAGAGAGGAGTGGCACATACAGAATGGTTAGTAGGGTGGATGAGTCTGGCAGCAGCATTCATGATAGACTGAAGAGGGGATAGCCTGCGATTCTGTAGGCCAATGAGGAGGGAGTTACAATAGTCAAGGCGAGATATAACAAGGGAGTGAATAAGTTGCTTAGTGGTTTCCGAGGTTAGGAACGGGTGTATCTTGGAGATGTTGCGGAGGTTGGAGTTGTCACAGAGGTTGGAGGTGTTGCGGAGGTTGGAGATGTTGCGGAGGTTGGAGATGTTGCGGAGGTTGGAGGTGTTGCGGAGGATGGAGGTGTTGCGGAGGTTGGAGGTGTTGCGGGGGTTGGAGATGTTGCGGAGGTGAAGTCTTCAAGATTTGGACAGTGATTGGATTTGGGGGTGAAAGGACAGATGAGAGTCTAGGATTACACCTAGTACCCTGGCACGAGGGGAGGGACTGATGATTGTATTATTGATCTTGATGGAGACGTAAGGGTAGGGGGCACGGGCTGGGGGGAATATTAAGAGTTCAGTTTTAGAAAGATTGAGTTTGAGGAAGTGGAGTGACATCCATGCCGATATGTCGCTTAGTAGGTTAGTAATGCGAGAGGAGACTGGAGGGGTGAGGTGAGAAGGAGACTGAAGGGGTGAGGTGAGGGGTAGAAAGATAGATTTGTGTGTCATCAGCATAGAGATGGTAGTTTAAGTCATGTCAGTTTATCAGGTGACCAAGCGAGGAGGTGTAGATGGAGAAAAGGAGTCCAAGGACAGAACCTTGAGGGACAGAAAGAGGGAGTGAAGAGGAGGAGGCAGCGTTATAGGTAACGCTAAAGGAGCATTGCGATAGGTAGGAGGAGAACCAGGAGAGAGCAGAGTCTCTGAGACCAACAGAGTGGCGTTTATTGAGGAGGAGGGGATGGTCAACCGTATCAAAAGCCACGGAGAGGTCAAGTAGTAAGTGTACGGAGTAGTGGCCATTGGTTGGGATGAGTACGGAGTAGTGGCCATTGGTTGGGATGAGTACGGAGTAGTGGCCATTGGTTGGGATGAGTACGGAGTAGTGGCCATTGGTTGGGATGAGTACGGAGTAGTGGCCATTGGTTGGGATGAGTACGGAGTAGTGGCCATTGGTGGCCATTGGTTGGGGGGAGTACGGAGTAGTGGCCATTGGTTGGGAGGAGTACGGAGTAGTGGCCATTGGTTGGGATGAGTACGGAGTAGTGGCCATTGGTTGGGATGAGTACGGAGTAGTGGCCGTTGGTTGGGATGAGTACGGAGTAGTGGCCGTTGGTTTTAGCAGTTAGTAGATCATTAGTGAGGTTTAGTAGGGTGGTGTCAGTGGAGTGTAGTGCGCAAAAGCCAGACTGTTAAGGGTCAAGAGGGTTGTTGTCGGTGAGGGAGGAGCTCAGGCGATTGTAGACTAAGCGTTCTGTAGTCATTTTCCCTTCTTAAAACCGACATGCCAAAGTCTTTTGATGTTTTTCTAGAAGTTTGGACGTCTAGCCTCTTTCCCGTCCTACAACTGGCATACCTTCTTTTGATGGTGTCCTAGGAGGTTGGATGTCTAGATAAGCACAGGAGAACCTCCCAAATGCCCAGAATGCACTGAAAAGTGGTAAATTATTAACTATTTCAGAGAAATACAGAGAGTAGAAGCAGAGACAGTAGTATATGTGTTGAGATTAGCTTAGGTGTGAGTTGCTCATTAACATTTCTTTTGTTTCCAAGGGTGGGAAAGGTGTCTGGTGGAGTCATTAAGGCCACCTGGCAGGGGGTCTTCATGAGGAATTTGAGGTGTGAATGGTCATTAACATATCTTTTGTTTCCAAGGGTGGGAGAGGTGTGAGGTGTGAATTGGTCATTTCTGTGTGTGACAAGCTTAGTAGGAACATCCTGTGTTCAGTGTTTTGTCCATCTGAGTACCTTGAAAACGCTTTGCATGCATTTTTCGTGATGGTAAACAGGCTCTGGACAGCAGTGGGAACTGGAAGAGTTAAAAAAAAAATTGCAAACGCTAATAAACGCGATTTGCAGCGTTTACAAGCGTCTTGCTGAACGCAAGTTTTCTGCGCTCAAAAAAAGACTGTAAACTCAAATGCCTGTAAACGACTGTAAACGAAGATGTGTACACGGACACATAGGAGAACATTAGGGAGAGTTCAGGGGCTGCTGAAATAAAACTGAACAGTTCCTGAACGTGAGTTTAGCATCTGCAATATACATGAGCCCTAACACTTTCAGTCCCCTCCCCCATCACCATCGCTTTCCTTTTTTCTTTCACTCCTTTCAAAATGCGCTCTCCATCAATCGGCTCGGGGTGAGGACCCAATCGGCTCGGGGTGAGGACCCCACTGGATTCCTGGACAGGTAAGTGTGCTCATATTAAAAGTCAGCAGCTACAGTATTTGTAGCTGCTGACTTTTAATTTTTGGGGGGGGGGGGGGGGGGGGAGGGCCGGAACGCCTCTTTAATGACTTCCTGTGTCCCTCAATTGACCAGAAAGAAAATAGTATTTTTGTAGGGATGCACCGAAATTTCGGTGGTCGAAACGTTTCGGCCAAAAACACCCCTTTTGGCCGCTGGCCGATATGAAAAATAGCACCAATATAGGTGCTGAAAAAACCCCGCCCCTCGCCGCTGTCGCTGGTCGTTCTCAGCCTTACCTGTTGTACGGATCATACCCAATTTTTGGACTTATCCAGCGGAAACCGTCGAACGATCCCGGCGCTGGGCATAGAGATGTGTGAAGGAAAGATGGCCTCCACTCATCTCTATGCCCTTGGAGGACTGGAGCGATGTCACTTCCGGGTCCGGGACATTTTTTTTTTCGTTTTAAGGCACTAGATCAATGCTTTTTTTTTTTTGATCCAATGCTTTACATTGCAGAGGAGAGATGTGGGGTCTTATTGACCCCATATATCTTCCTAAAGAGGACCTGTCACTAATTATTTCTATTACAAGGGATGCACGCATTTCTTGTGATAGGAATAAAAGTGATAAAAAAAAAAAAAAAAAAAAAAAAAAAAAAGTTTAAAGTGCCCCTGTCCCTCCTGTGCTCGCACGTAGTGGTGAACACATACGTAGGCCACGCCCACATATGTAAATGGTGTTCAAACTACACATGTGAGGTATCACCACGAGCAATAATTCTCACACTAGACCTCCTCTGTAACCTCACAATGGTAACCTGTAGAAATTTTTAAAGCTTCACTCATGGAGATTTTTAAGTACCGCAGTTTCACGCCATTCCATGAGCGTGCGCAATTTTAAAGCGTGACATGTTGGGTATCTGTTTACTCGCCGAAACATCCGTTTTCATATTTTACAAAACAAATTGGGGTATATATTGTTTTTTTTTTTTTTGTTTTTTTTAATCAAAGTGTATTTGTTTCCAACAAAATGTATTCATTTTTAAAAACGGTGCATTTCGAATTTTCAGTTTCGGCACCAGAATTTTCATTTCGGTGCACCACTAGATTTTTGTACTCGGGCATCTTTTCTTGAGGTCCATTGAGGTGCACAGGTCCCTCACCTCCTGTGTTTATGATCATGCTGTTGGTACTTTTGCTACAAACGTATTCCAGTTGTCGGAGGGGTCATCCTGGACTGGTTTATCATTTTTTTTCTTGTTTGCCAGTCTCCTGTCTTCTTGTAGGTGGTAGTAGAACCTGATAATTAATGACTTCTTGTGCTCCTCAATGTACTCAGAGAAAAGGATTTTACAATGAGTACAAAAACCCTATTTTTTTGGGATGGGCCCGTCTCATATTAGTTATTGAACATATTTTATCTTTCCTGATGGGTGGTTTGATTGGTGATTTGATTGGTGGTTTTTTGGTGGGTAATTTGTTGGTGGTTTGATGAGCGGTTTTGATGAGCGGTTTGATGAGCGGTTTAATGGGTGAATTGATGGGTAATTTGTTGATGGTTTGATGGGCGGTTTGATGGGTAATTTGTTGATGGTTTGATGGGTGGTTTGATGGGTGGTTTGATGGGTGGTTTGGTGAGTGGTTTGATGGGCGGTTTGATGGGCGGTTTGATGGGTGGTTTGATGGGCGCTTTGATGGGCGGTTTGATGGGCGGTTTGATGGGTGAGTTGATGGGTGGTTTGATGGGTTGTTTGATGGGCGGTTTGATGGGTGAGTTGATGGGTGGTTTGATGGGCGGTTTGATGATGTTTTGATGGGTGATTTATGGGTGGTTTGATGGGCGGTTTGATGGGTGAGTTGATGGGTGGTTTGATGGGCGGTTTGATGGGCGGTTTGATGGGTGAGTTGATGGGTGGTTTGATGGGCGGTTTGATGGGCGGTTTGATGATGTTTTGATGGGTGATTTATGGGTGGTTTGATGGGTGAGTTGATGGGTGGTTTGATGGACGCTTTGATGGGTGAGTTGATGGGCGCTTTGATTGGCGGTTTGATTGGTGGTTTGATGGGCGGTTTGATGGGCGGTTTGATGGGCGGTTTGATTGGACATTCAATTTCCTCCGTCCAGTTTCCTGATCGCAGGATGGACAGGCTGGCAGGTTCTCTTGTATAATATTTAATAATTTCTCCTCTAAACCTTTCCGGTGTAAATGAGCTCATTGAAGATAAACAATAGTTTGTTGCAAGGCCGTGTACACCGGCGCCGTGTGACACCGTACATGGCTCGTACATCGCGGTAGGGAAAGGTCACTTCAGTCACGGTGTGATTGTTAGGATTATCCAGCGTGTTGGTGGTGATGTGAAAAGGTCAGGACACTTGTACTTACCAGGCTGCTGCTTGTAACGGTATGTAAACTGGTGTCACTCATCTATAGAGCTTCCATTCTGTCCAATTTGTAGATGATGCTTTGTTTTCGGGGATCGGAGATCGGTGTCATGTCATCACAGATGTACATAGACAGAGAACATACAAGGTGGAGTCTCCGCACAAATTTCTGCTCATTGGAAAACTGCATAAAATGTGAGGAGACCAGTCCCTAAATCGGTTCTATTGTGAAACATGATATACCGGTCCTGCTGTACTACATACTATACCGGTCCTATCATACTACATACTATACCGGTCCTATCATACTACATACTATACCGGTCCTATCATACTACATACTATACCGGTCCTGCTGTACTACATACTATACTGGTCCTATCATACTACATACTATACCGGTCCTATCATACTACATACTATACTGGTCCTACTATACTACATACTATACCGGTCCTATCATACTACATACTATACCGGTCCTATCATACTACATACTATACCGGTCCTATCATACTACATACTATACCGGTCCTATCATACTACATACTATACTGGTCCTACTATACTACATACTATACCGGTCCTATCATACTGCATACTATACCGGTCCTATCATACTACATACTATACTGGTCCTACTATACTACATACTATACCAGTCCTATCATATTATATACTTTACCGGTCCTATCATACTACATACTATACCGGTCCCGTTAGACTGCATACTATATACCGGGCCTGCTATACTACATACTATACCGGTCCTATCATACTACATATTATACCGGTCCTATCATACTACATACTATACCGGTCCTATCATACTACATACTATACCGGTCCTATCATATTATATACTTTACCGGTCCTATCATACTACATACTATACTGGTCCTACTATACTACATACTATACCGGTCCCGTTGGACTGCATACTATATACCGGTCCTGCTATACTACATATTATAACGGTCCTATCATACTACATACTATACTGGTCCTATCAAACTACATATTATACCGGTCCTCATCATACTACATACTATACCGGTCCTATCATACTACATACTATACCGGTCCTATCATATTATATACTTTACCGGTCCTATCATATTATATACTTTACCGGTCCTATTATACTACATACTATACCGGTCTTATCATACTACATACTATACCGGTCCTGCTATACTACATACTATACTGGTCCTACCATACAACGATCCATCTATGCTACATACTATACTAGTCCTACCATACAACGATCCATCTATGCTACATACTATACTGGTCCTTCCATACAACGATCCATCTATGCTACATAACTATACTGGTCCTACATACAACGATCCATCTATGCTACATACCATACTGGTCCTACCATACAACGATCCATCTATGCTACATACTATACTGGTCCTACCATACAACGATCCATCTATGCTACATACTATACTGGTCCTACCATACAACGATCCATCTATGCTACATACTATACTGGTCCTACCATACAACGATCCATCTATGCTACATAC